CACATGGTCACACTTTAAAGAGGGCCAGATGTGTTAGCAGACATAAAAACATTAGGGATGCCTGCGTGACTCAGTTGGTTAAGCATCTGCCTTCGGCTCGGGTCATGATTCCAGGGTCCTGTGATTGAGCTCTGAGTCTGGCTCCCTGCTCAGTGGGAGCCTGCTTCTCCCTCTCCTGCTTCTCTCTCTCAAATAAATAAAATCTAAAAAGAAAATTTAAAGAGGGCCAGAAAGTGTGTTATTTTTTCTGGACTGTCTTTGGCTTGCTAGAGATTGTTAATATATAAGGGAAGAACAGAGATTAACAGACAAGTGGTCTCTGCTTCTGCAGGCCTTTTGTAACTTGGCGTGTGCCTGTCCTAGTACTCTCAGGAGTAGGAGCTTCATGTTATTTAGGAGGCCTTATTCTCTTATCTGTAAAACTAGTGACAGGTTTATGATCCAACATTTGGGCCCAGCATTTCTGTGACACTGTGATCTCCTAATTCCTTCCTATCTCTTTAGACAAGCCCTCAGTCCTAGCTAAAGCTCTGCTAAAGGACAAAAACATTTATTGCCAAGAGCAGTGTAATCCCTAGCTATTACTCTGCCAAATCCTGGGACCATTTTCCTATCTGAACAAGAGAAGCTGTGTAAAGTGCTCATTTTAGGAAATAGTGGTGATCAGGGACAAGGCAAAACAGAAGCCTCCTGACAGTGATCAGTGTTAATGATTCCAGGCATAAGATATATCTTACTTCCAGGGGCACAGAAATAAAGAAGGGTTCTGCTCTGGAGTTGGGGTTGGAGCCTTTGGATTATGTCAACAGGAGATATTTGTTACATGCCTCCTTTGTGCCAGGGCTTATGCTTTAGCTGAGGATAATGATGTTGAACAAGATAGATACAGTCCCTGCTTCCCGGAGTGAGCAAAGACAGATACTTAAACTGAGAAATAGAGTGCTGTGATGGCATGTAACTGGGGGCCTGCCTTATTCTGGGTGGTCAGAAAAAGCTTGCTTTCCAAGGGAAATGGGATTTGAGCCTTGACTTCAAGTAACAGTCAAGATGGACGGTTGGAATGGGAAGGGAAGGGCATTCTAGGTTTAGAGAACAGTATGTTCAGCACGTGGGACTGAAGTTGAGAGAGGAGGAGGAATGAGAGTGCTAAGAGGCTGGAGAGACAGGTAGGGCTGGCCGCCAACCACATCCCAGTGCTGTAGCATCCTAGGGATCAGAGCTAGAAGAAATGCCTGCACTATCAAATTTGGGAGGGTACCTAAGGATGGTCTAATCGATGGCTTTTCGTGCTGTTCCCCTTTCCCCTGGGCTCATTTTGAAATTTTATGGGAGTATTTTTGTTGCAATGTTTAGTGGTGTTAGATGGGAGCCAGGAGTGCCACGAATCCTGAAAATCATAGAAGGCTCCCACCTATTTGGAAAAGTTTTTGCAGACTTTCAGGTCTTTCTGGACATTCATGTAGGTAAAAACCATTTATAAGTGAGCTGAATCCAGAACCTGTTTTCAGCTAAATGAATTTTTACACAGTTTTAACGTATGTTGATTCTCTAGGAATAAAACTGTGAAATCAAAAGAAGATTGTACTGTTTCACTTAAACCTTACCAAGAAGTGTCACCATTTTGGGTCACAGCTTGTGATTTTTGAAACCTCAATAAAAGACAGCATTGTGGCTGTGGCGTTCAGGCACATTCCATGTGAAAAGGCAAATATTTGACCTTTAGGTCTATAGCAGTCATGACCATTTATATACTGAAATGTGTATTTTTACAAATCATTTTCCTTTTATATCTCCTCTATTAAAGCATAATATTAGGGTTTTTTTTTTTGTAATTTCAAGTTTTTATTTAAATTCTAGTTAGTTAACATATAGTGTAGTATTAGTTTCAGGAGTAGAATTTAGTGATTCATCACTTACATACAACACCCAGTGCTCATCACAAGTGCCCTTCTTTATACCCATCACCCATCCCCGTCCAATAACCCTCAGTTTGTTCTCTATCCTTAAGAGTTTGTTTTATGGTTTGCCTCTCTCTATCTGCAGTGTTCATCTATTTTATTTCTTAAGTTCAACGAATGAGTGAGATCATATGGAATTTCACTTACCATAATACCCTCTAGCTCCATCCACAGTTTCAAATGGCCAAGATTTCATTCTTTCAGTGGCTGAGCAATATTACGATCATCTATCTACCTATCTCACAACTTCCTTATCCATTCATCAGTTTTTAAAATGTGGGTTGTTTATATTACCTATGCACTTCTAAGTCACGATCTGTGAATTTCAGGACAGGAGAATAAAGCGGTCACCAGGAAATAGTTGTTACAAAAAGGCGGCCTTCGGTGTGACAGCCTGTGATAGATGCACAGGCCCGGGCCGGAAACTCCCAAATCCGGTTGCACCTGCAGCTTTACTAAAATACAGATCCCCAGCGCCACCCCCGGGGGTGAATCCAGCTCCCCTCTGGTGCTTCCCCAGCCCACCTCGAGGAATAATGGCCCTGCGGCCGGACCCACAGGACAAGGGCGCGGGGCACAGGCGTCCCGGTTACTGAGACTCGGGCTGCAGGGGCGGGGCCGGAACACCAACAAGAGGGAGCAACGCGGCTCCTAGAGAGACTCGGCCGCGGCCTGGTGACGCACTTCCGGCTGCGCGGTGGTGCCGCCGGTGGCGGAGGTGAGTGTGGGGCTGCGGCCGGCGGGGGCGGCGCCCTGGCCGGTAACTGTGGGTGCGGTGGGGATGCGCCTCCAGTTCCTGGAGGAGGGGGTAGGGCGGTGGTCCGCGGTCCGACTGCGCCCGTCCTAGATTCCCGTTTTGGACTTGGTGACCGAATTGGAAGGCGAAGCGTGGATTCCTGTCACAGCCACGAAGCCCCGCACTGTCTCCGGGGAAGACGCCACTGACCTTTCGGGAAGATGTGTCGGCGCAGCCAGTGGGTGGAATCTTTGCAGGGGTGAGGTGGATTGTGATATCGCGAGTCTTCTGACCTGTTGCAGTCGTACAGGGGCGCTTACCCATATGCATTTCAGATATGGACCGTGTGCCCCTGACTTCTAACATAGGGTCGTGAATCAGGGCTCAGTGAGAGCACAGAAAAAGCAGAGCCCCTCCCAGTCACCCGGGAGTAGAAGCAGCCCGGCTTTTGGAGAGCACTGTCTTCTGGAGCTGGCAGTTCCACAAGGTATCTTGGCCCTCGTCTCGGGCTGTTGGGATGACAGTGACTTGGGGATGATGTCTACATTGTAATCACTTATTTGCTCAGTTCTAGAACACACATAAAATAGTTCCAGAATTGCTCATTCATACCGTCGTGAAAATTATACGAAAATTATACTATAATAAAATAGTAGCTAAAACATGAAATATTTTTTAAAAAACCACAAACCTCTCTGGAATGTGGCTGATCGTGTATTCAGAGGAAAATTTACGGCCTTACAGGTTTTAACTGCCAAATAGGAAAGAATGAAATAATAAATCCTGCATCCTCAAGAAGCATTTGGGCAGAGGTCTTTTTAACCTTATAGTACCTAGTTAAAATACTGCTTTCCAAAGTTATTTAGTTCTTTTCTTTCCCACCACTTCAGTGTGGTTATGTTATTCAATTATAGTATAGTTAAGCTCATTTGATGTTGTTTGTATTCCTTTTTGGGTTGTCACCCCCATCCCATCCTGGTTGGTTAATTTAATATATGTGTATTTATTTATTTGGATATGTGAAACATGGTTATGAAAGTCAGAACAAAAAGGCAAACTCAGAAGCGGCACTACCCTCCTCATCTCTTCTACTCTATTTCCTTTCATTCTCTTTTCCATCCCAGGCTCCTTTCATTTCCTACCCATATTTGAGGCAACCATTCTCCTTAGTTTCTGATTTATCCTTCTATTTCTTTTTTTTTTAAAGATTTTATTTATTTATTTGACAGAGAGAGCGTGAGAGGGAACACAAGCAGGGGGAGTGGGAGAGGGAGAAGCAGGCTTCCCACTGAGCAGGGAGCCAGACGCGGGGCTCAATCCCAGGACCGCGGGATCATGACCTGAGCCGAAGGCAGACGCTTAACGACTGAGCCACCCAGGTGCCCCCTTTCTATTTCTTTCTTGTACAAATGACCAGATACACACGTATTTTCTTATATTCCTATTCTTTTGTACACAAGAGGTAGCACACTGCCTTTTGCACTTTGCTTGTTTCATTTGACAGTATATTCTGGAAATCACTCCATATCATAGAGATAAGTATGTTTTTTAAATGTTATTCATGCATACTGAAGACTGCATCTAGCATGGCATTTAAGAAGCATAGTAGTAAGATGAGTACCCATGAACGCACCACCCCACTAAGGAGGAGAATATTTCCAGTACTGCTTCTCAACCCAGCTCCCAGCTTCCCACCCCTCTAGAAGTAACAACTGTCTTGAATTTTGCATTAATCATAGTCTTACCTATTTATAAAAATAATTTTATCTGATAAAATATGTCTGTAGACAATGTTTAATTTTATTTTTGAGCTTTATGCAAATGGCATTGTAGTGTCTGTAGTCATCTGGGACTTGTATGATTCAATATTATGTTCCTAAAGTCATCTGTGTAGTTGTGTGTAATTGTGAGCCATTCATTTTTGCTGCTGGATAATATTCCTTTTTAAAAATGATAGGACAATTTATTTATGTATTCTTAATGGATATGTGGGTTGTATCCAGTTTTCTAGTATTCAAACACTGATAATGAATTATTTTGTACATATTTTCTACATATGAGGGTTTCTCTAAGGCATAAATTTTGAAATGTAAGCATGAGTATTGAATTTTATCTCAAATGCCTTTGGTATCTGTTGGGGTGGAGAGTGTGTTTATCTTTCTTTGATCTATTCATGTGGAAAAGTATACAAATCTCTATTCTAATATTAAGCTTTACTTGCATTCGTGGGATGATCCCTTTTAGTCACGGTATGTCACTTTAATGAACTATTGGAGTCAATGCCTTTATATTGGGGATTTTTTTGTCAGTATTCCTAAAGGAGGCTGGCCTGTGGTTTTTGTATCAGTGTTGTGCTGGCATCATAAAAAGGACCAGGAAACTTATTTTGCTCTTCTCTCCTACAGTTTCAGTAGTGTTGGAATTACTCATTTCTCAAAGACTTGAAAAGATTTGTCTGTGATACATACAGGCTCAGTGTTTTGTGAGAGTTTGCTCTTTACTGGCTATCTTAGTTTAATTAGGTAAAAGTAATCATGGATTCCAGAGAAATAGCTACGTAATAAAATTAGTAGAGTTGATTTACTAGATTCAAATAGAATGATATGTTCTTCTATCATAGAATAAGTTTCTCTTTGTAAGTATTCACACTTCAGCCAACAAAAGAAGCCCTCAAAATCTGTAAAGCAGAAGTGAATAGACCAGGTTATTTAAACACCAGCCAGTAAAGCCAGAAATTATGAACAGAGAAGAAATTAGCAACAAACTATCCTAAAGAATTCTGTGGTCAGAGACGAAACACTTGCTGACAGGCTATAAAATGTAATTAATATAAATAAAACATGAAATATTAAAAAAAAAAAACCTCTGGCATGTGGCAAATAGTGTATTCAGAGGGAAAATTTATGGCCTCATAGATTTTAATTGCTAAATAGGAAAGAATGAAAATAAATGAATAAATCATGCAACCTCAACAAGGTAGAAAAAACCTGGGTGGCTCAGTCGGTTAAGCGTCTGCCTTCAGCTTAGGTCATGGTCCCGGAGTCCTGGGATCGAGTCCTGAGTCAGGCTGGGAGCCTGATGTCAGTGGGAGCCTGCTTATCCCTCTGCTTGCTGCTCTCCCTGCTTGTGCTCTTTCTCTCTTTCTCATTCTTGCTCTCTCTCAAATAAATGAAATCTTAAAAAAAAAAAAAAAAAAGTAGAAAAAAGCCTTTTGTAATCTAGCCTCCCCCAAAAGCAGAACACAGGACAGAGGTTTGTGTGCAGGCAGTTTACTTGGGAATGTATTCCAAAGGCAGAGTGAAAGACAAGGGGAGTGAGACAGGAGGGAGAGCCAGTACAAGGATGCATTGTCAGGCTGGCCTGTCCATAGGCAACTGGTGCTCAGTCTTGCAGGATCTTTGAGGAGCCTTGGAATCTCATGTAGGAGACTGAAGGGGAAAATATTTGTCCATTGACCTCTGTCCCCTGTTAGTCATAGGTGGTCTCACAGGCATTGACTCCTCTCTGCCTTTCAGGACCTAGCAGGTGTCCATAGGTATCTGCAGATGTCCCTCACAGGACACCAGAGAAGCCCCAGGGCAGGAATCAGCCATATGTGGTGTAGATCCTTGAGGATGCATTGGTAGGTTATACCTGCGCAAAGCTGGTCAAAGTCTCTGGCACTGGACTGAGACCAGAGGATTTGGAAGGGAACAGAAGGTGTACCTCTCACAGAGGTGGAGCTCTTCCAGAGCTAAAGAAACAAAGAAAGCAGAACTTAATGAACTAAAAGGAAATAGAAAAGAGTGGTGTTCTAAATAACTAGAAAAATTTGTTCTTTAAAAATAAAACAACATTCAAATAGACAAACCATTGTTCAACTTAACTTTATTAGTCTGCTCAGGCCACCGTAACAGAATACCATAGACTGCATGGCTCAAACAACAGAAATTTATTTCTCACAGTTCTGGAGGTGGAAGAAAGCCTAAGTTTAAGGTGCCAGACAATTTGGTTCTTGGCGAGGGCTGTCCTTGGGTTGCAGATGGCTGTCTTCTCACTGTGTCTGCATGTGGTGGAAAAAGAACTCTGGGGTCTCTTCCTCCTTTTTATAAAGGCACCAGCCTTATCAGAGTAGGGCTCCACATTTATGGCTTTGTTTAACCTTATTACCTCCTCACAGGTCTTATATCCAAATATAGTCATATTGGGTGATAGAACTTCAACCTATGAATCTTGGGGGGACATGTTCCATCCCTAACATTAACAAAGGGGAAAGGGTGTAGAAAGCACATATATTCAAAAGTGGGAAAGGCACAGTGGCTCCAGATATGGAGGAAATGGAAAGAATCGTGAACCTGTGTTTTCCACAACTCTGCACTCAAGTTGAAATCCTAGAAGACATGGATGATATTTTAGGGAAACACATATTTTCAAGACTGACTTTGGGAGCAGTAAAAAACCTGAAAATAAGCAGTCCAAATGTTTTGAAAACAGTGAACAAGGCGTGCTGGGTCATGGGACCCTAGATGATATAGTGATCCCCTCTCGCTGGGAGCTGAGGCTCTGGCTTCTTCACTATCAGAGGGCTGAAGAACATGAGGAGGCAGCCTGGGACCTCAAAGGTAAGCCTGGGCCATGCGGGAGGCTGGCTGCCCAAGATCTCCACAGAGATAGTGGGGCTCTTGAGGACACTCAGCTGTGTGAGGGAGCAGGCAGGATGTAGGGAAAAAGCTGTCTCCTCCAGCTCCCAGGGGCCTGACTCAGGTCTCTGTGCTGGGGCCACAGCCCTGCCAGCCTGGCTTCTCCTGCAGTGTAATCGAGGGTGATGCTTGTTTAGAGAAAAACAAGCAAGTCCAAGATCTTGGTAATGTTCTCTTTCTTAAGCTGAATTGTTGCTATGTGGGTCTTTGTTTTATTATGCTTTAGGCCCTGAGTACGTTTTATGTCTGCTCTTGTGTATGTGACATGTGTCAGAATTGTGAAATCCTAGGGTTCCTGGCAATGAGCATCAGTGCCATGGCTGGGAGGGGTCCTGGCCACTGAGCCAGTGAACGGATCGCCCCCTTCTTCCTGTGGCAACTCCCGCGGCACTCCTATCTGGACACCGGCTGCCTGCGCCTCACATCTGCGAGGGGCTGTGTTGTTCCTCCTGGCACGGGGCTCGCCTCACACTTGTCTCTCTCTGTTTTTCCTCAGCTCCAGCCCTTCTCTGAGAGGGGGAGCAGGTGATGGCAGCCATGCTCCTGACAGCCTGGCCCCAGGTGAGCTGTGGCTCCTTCAGCTCTTCCTCTGAACAGTTTCACATTGAAGAAAACTGAGAAGGGAAGCTGGTGAGCTTTGTGGTGGAAGCTGGAGGGGCCCTCCTTGCTTCTGCCTGGATCTTGTGGGAAGAGTGGTGATGTGAAGGGATGTAAGCAACCAGAGAGCGTCCCTGAAGGCAGGAGTGAAGTGGTCTGCACACCGAGGTTCTTTGCTCCTCGGGTGAATAGGGGACATGGAAGCTGCTCATGGAGGATGCTCCATGCATGGATGTGAATGGAGGGGGATAGCAGAGCATTAGGATGCCCAGGGACTGGGCTGTAGGTGAAGAGGAGTAGTAGGACCAGATCATCACAAAGGTTGGCTGTGCCTCTAATTTGGTGGGGACGGCGAGATGAGAGGAGTGGGATCTGGAGAAGGAAAAAGGAAGTCCTATGGGACAGGATGTCTCATTGTGTCCTGGAGAGGCTTTCAGGCCTTGGGTGCAGGGGCTCCAACTTTAGGTCTCTGATAAGAGCTCTAGACCCTCCCCCGCTCAGGAAAATAAGCATGCAAACCAAATTCTCCATACAATTTCAGGGACTTCACGGACCCCTGAAGTGCATCCATGGACCTCCATGGACTACAGGTTGGGAATAATCATAGTCACAGTAACTCCAGTAACATTGTTTGAGGCTTGCTGCGCTGCAGGCACCCTACTAAGCCTTTGCATGGATTGCCCAGTCCTGACACCTGCCCTCTGAGATAGGTGCTGTGTTGTGCTCATTCTGTCACAAAAGACATGAAGGCAAAGGGGAGTAGAGTGCCTTGCCCAAGGTCATATAGCTGGTGTTTGATTCTTTTTTTTTAAGATTTTATTTATTTATTTGACAGAGAGAGAGATAGCTAGAGCAGGAACACAAGCAGGGGGAGTGGGAGAGGGAGAGGCAGGCTTCCTGCTGAGCAGGGAGCCCGATGCGGGACTCGATCCCAGGACCCCAGGATCATGACCTGAGCCGAAGGCAGACGCTTAATGACTGAGCCACCCAGGCGCCCTGGTGTTTGATTCTTAACTGCTCATCCCTGTGACATGTGTGCAACCTGTGAAGTTAATGTGGTCAGAGTTGTGATGGCTTTCAAGGGAATAATTTTTAGGGGTGATTCAAAAAGAAGCTGACCACTTCAGAAAGAATTCCATTGGTCCAGGTGTGGTGTGGGCTTCATCAAGGAAAGTAGTTGTTAAAGAATCCAATTCAAGTAATGCTTAACATAAAGATCTTTAGGATGTTGAGAGTCAAAGGACTGGGGGTAGGGTAAGGGAGAGGGAAGAGTCAGGAACAATCCCCAGGTTTCTGGCTGAGATTTCCTGCACAGATGTTGGGGGATGTTTGAATTCAGGAGGTGGCGCGAACGTACTAGGGTAAAGGGTGGTGGTGGCGGCAGTGAAGGCATTTAATATTGTTCAGAGAAGTTCCAAGGTCACAGATGAGTGACTTGCAGACTCACCCAGAGGTTGGACTAGAATTGTTGATGGGTGGAGGTCAGTGGAAGGAAGCAAGACAGATCCTGACAGAGAGGAATTGAGGGCATACCCCTGCCAGTGCATCCCCAAGGTTGTTACAAAAGACTGAGGGGGGCAGAGAGAGAGAGAGCGACCAGAGGCTGCAGCTGCCCAAAGGGAGCCATCAGCCCTGATGCAGAGAAACAGTGAGTTCTTGGGTAAAGTTGGAAAGGACGAGAGGCATGAATGGGAGAGGGTAACAGAAAATGTTGGATTTTCAGTAAGACGCCTCTGGAAGCAGAATGGGCTGCTGTCCCCACCATAGCCAGTCAGGGCAGTGCTGAGCTGCTGGAGGTGCTTGTAGCAGGGGCAGTGACCGGAGTCAGGCGACAGACGGGGGCTGGACCAGATGGAGGCCATAGCTGTTATCCGGGGGTGGCTGGAGGTTTACAGGTGAGGGGAGCAGGATGGAGAAGCCAAGACCTCAAGTGGGAATGCTGGTGGGTTGGTCCTGAGCTGCATCTGCCACTGAGGACAGGGCCTAACTGAAAGAATGGAGTTGCTTTGGGAGAACTTGATATGGGAATTTTTTTTCTGTCATCCCAACTTAGGATATCTTTTATAAACGTAAAATATGGCATGAGGTTCCCTGCCATGAGAGATGTCAGATATTCTTCATTGTTTACTTTCCAGGTGCTATTTCTCAAACCTTTCCCCTTGTTATTAATTCTGTGCTCCTCAGAAGCTCCCTCCCCAAACCCTTATACTGCCCTCTGCCCCTCACTTAGGGCCTGAGCCATGGAATTGGCCCTAGGGCAGCAGGAACCTGTTGTTTCAGAAGTCGGTGACCTTCGAGGACGTGGCTGTGTACTTCACCCAGACGGAATGGGATGGCCTGTCCCCTGCACAGAGGGCCCTGTACAGGGATGTGATGCTGGAGAATTATGGGAATGTGGCCTCCTTGGGTAAGGCCTCTCTCCCCCTGGGACCCAGACTCTGCCAGTTGGGGTTTCCTGGCTTATTGCCCCCTAACAGGTTGCAGGTGGGGTCTCTGGTAATCCTTCACTGAGTGGGAACCCCAGGGGCTGAGATTCCTAATCCCCCTTGAGTCAGGGGTTGCTGGGAAGGGTGAACCTCAAGCCCTTTTTGGGCCAGTACAGGACTTGGCTGGGACTGGTGTGCACTCTTTATTCTCCCTCTAGAAGTTGTGGTTTAGACACTGTGGAAAAAAGAAACTTACTGTTTCACACAGCATTATTTTCAGGTTCACCCTCACCCGACCTGCATATCTTGAGGTCTTCTGGGCCCAAGTCTGAGCCATTCCCAACTCCTCCCACACCTTCTCAGGACCCCTCCCCCCCCCACACACATATACCTTCCAAGCTCCCCATCTTTCCAATTGCCCCCATCCCCGACTTTCCCATAGTCATTAGGCATAGGATCCCCTAGCGCTCTTATTTTGCCTTCCCATTGCCAAGACAATCTGAGGAGATGCTTAAGAACTCATCTGTGGGAGATTATTCACTTGTTTCTCCTATTTCTTTTCCCCTAAACAGGATTTTCTCTTCTCAAACCTGCTGTGATCTCACAACTAGAGGGAGCAGGTGAGCTGGGGGGCCCATCTCCACTGGTGGATGGAACAGAAACAGGCCCCCAGGGCCTCTGGACTGGTAAGGGACACACAGGTTGCCTATTATGGGGGAAAGTTTAACTCTTTAAGAAGAAGGTCAACGTAAGCAACATATAAGCATGCCACATTTATGAGCCAGCCGTAGAGAGTAAAATTTAAATAAATGCTGATGATTTATAGAGATAGGTACAGTTGAGACCTGACTATTTTTGCAGTTTGCTGTTTCTGATTCCAAGAACAGATCTTTTTTCATTCTAAATCTTTCCAGGCCTAATTTTGGAATTCTGCCTTTCTCAGATGAAATTAATGGATGTTGTTTTTGGGTCCTTGCTACTTCCTAAGCATTGTGCACTTAATGTGATGGATAGAGAATTAACAGTCTTTTTATACAGAAAGGCAGAATAGCCTGGCAGTTAAAAGTACAGTCTTTGAAGTAGACTTGACTGAGGTCCAATCCCAACTGCTATTCCTAGTTATATGACTTCCCAGTTGTGACTTTAAGCAGGTCAGTTATTTGAGTTCTCTAAGATTCAGTGTTTTTATCCCTGAAAATGGAATAATATACCTAACATATAGTGTGTGCTCAATGAAGTATTAGTTTTTATTTATTTATTTATTTATTTATTTATTTATTTATTTATTTATTTATTTATTTATTTATTGGAGGAGACAGCTCTATATAGTAAGCTGTGGGAAATAAGGTGGAAGGGAGAAAGTGCTCTTTATTCAGTGCTTCTCAAATGATGTGCAAGTGAATCACCTGGGTGTCTTGCAAATATGCATGTTGTCATTTAGTAAGTGTGGCATAGGGCCAAGATTCTGCATTTCTATTCTCAGGTCCTGCCAGTGTTTCTGGTTCCTAGACCATACTTGAAGTAGCAAGCTTCTCGTTGGCTTAAGCAGAGTAGTTGCCAGATGATTTCCCATTTCTTGTGATTTCCCATTTACTTACTGCATTTGTGGTGCATAGATTCTCTTGTATCCTTTCAATGAATCCTCCTTTTTAAAAAGATAGTTTCAGGGCACCTGGGTGGCTCAGTTGGTTAAGTGGCTGCCTTCGGCTCAAGTCATGATCTCAGCCGGGAGCCTGCTTCTTGCTCTCCCTCTGCCTGCCGCTCCCCCTGCTTGTGCTCTCTCGCTGTCTCTCTGTCAAATAAATAAATAAATAAATAAATAAATAAATAAAATTAAAAAAAATTTTTTTTAAAGAATAAAAAGATAGATTCAGTGGATTTTTGTTCATGTGGTCATTCAGCCAGATGAAGGGGGGAAAAATGATGTTGTGGAGCTCCTCAGAGGAGTCTGGATTTCATTCCATAGTCAGCAGACAGTACTGAAGTCTTTGAAGTTTTCGAATAACCATCATGATCTAAACTGAGAATGGAAACATTAATTAGTGTGTGTAGGTTAATTGGAGCAGGAAATCAAATGGCTTTTAAGCAGACAGAAGGGGAAGGTAGGTACAGGGCACAAGGCCCACGTCAGCAGAGTTGACTCTTTTAAAAAAACTTTCAGAAGGCCCATTCGGTGACTTCTGTTTAAATCTCATTTGCTGGAACTGTCTTATGACCCCCCCCTACTGCAAGAGAGTGTGGAAAATACAGTTTTTAGCTGTAGTTTCTATTGCTACCTCAAAAAAATTGGAGAACGTGTTAGTAAGGAAAAAGGGAGAATGGATATTGCTTAAGTAACCAGTAGCATCTGCCACACCATAGGATTTGGTAAATAGAAGGGCACTAGTATAGAAAAATTGGCAAAGATTATAAGTGTTTGATCCACATGAGAAGTACAGATTTTAATCAATGTGAAAAAGCTTCACCCTCAGTAGAAACCAATGAGATACAAATTAAAACAGAGATGCTCCACCTAACACACTTGACATAAGTAGGCTGGGTCCAAGGACCCAGAATGGGTCCTGCAGGACAAGCCAAGAGGGTCCTTGGCTTTGAGTAGGGTAGAAACCAAATGCGAGCCAGGAGGAAGTGAGAGCAGAGTTTATTGAATAGCATAAGTGATAGAGTATAGCAGATGGAGTGTTTGGGAGATTCAGAAAGGAAAAGAGAGTGAGTCTCTCCTTTGCTTGGGGTTTAGGGTTTTTATTGAGGATTGGGATCTGGTGTACATGTCCTCTTCAGACACCCAGGAACTGGTCAGAACAAAGACAAGTGTCCAGGTGTCCTCCATAAAGCACGTATTGCCTGGAGCCAGGGGGTTTTGGCATCAAGAGGTCTAGAGTCAGTGGTCTAGAAAACGTATATGATGGCCCTGCTTGGTCATTCCTTAGGTGTTATCACCCGTGCTGGAAGACCCCCAAAAGTCATTAACTCCTTGACCCTTATAAGAAGGACATACATCATTTGTACTGTAAGGTGTGTACAAGGTGGGGTGGGGTACAGGTCCTGGCAAGAATAGAAGCAGGAAAATAAGCAAAAAGCAGTTTTTCATGGAGTTCCTTCAGTTTCCCTGGCTCATACAGAGAACAATTATACTGATGGAGAGACTACACCAAACTGGAATAGACTTTTGGGGATGAATGTGAATCAGTAGTCTTTCCAGAAAGTACTTCAGCCATACATATCAAGAGCCTTTTAAAAGTTTGTCCTTGATAGTCTGGATATTTCCTCCTAGAGTATCCTAATAAACTAATCAGAGATACAGACAAAGATGTGCATGCACAAAAGTTCATCATAATTTTATATAATAAAATGTTGGAAATAACCCAGACATTCAGTATAGAGAGAATTGGTTAATTTAAGATACCTCTGCAGGATGGAATGCTATTTAGCAATTTAAAAAATATTTTTACAGAATAAAGATAATGGAAAATTGTCATTATTAGTGTTAAGGAAGAAAAATATTTTCAATTTTGAATAAAAACATTTTTAGAAAAATGATTGGAAGGAAAATCTTTGGGGGAGGAGATACATCAGAAGATTAGATGTAGTTGTTAGGTGGTTGTATTTCACGTAAATTGAATTTTCTTCTTTGTACTTTTCTGATATTAGGGATGACTACTATTTTTATAATTGGGAAAAGACCAACAGTTTTGAAAATGCTTGCTAGGGAAATCCAGGTCACTTGGGTCTCTTGAGGGTGATTAGAATGAAATACTGGGGCAGGGGGCTTATTACCTGTGGTTGAGGAGAGATGAGAGATGAAAAATAGAGGCAGCATTTTGAGATCAGTTTTGAGAAATTTGGGAACAAAAGATCCTTAGCTCTATTGGGACTGTAGGGATTTCAAAAAGAATGTTAGGGACAACGGCTCCTGGGTGGCTCAGTCGCCTGGCTCAGGTCATGATCTCGGGGTGGGGTTGAGCCCCACGTCAGGCTCCCTGCTCAGCAGAAAGCCTGCTCCTCCCTCTCCCTCTACCTCTCGCCCTGCTTTTTTTTTTTTTTTTTTAAAGATTTTATTTATTTATTTGACAGAGCGAGAGATAGTGAGAGCAGGAACACAAGCAGGGGGAGTGGGAGAGCGAGAAGCAGGCTTCCTGCCGAGCAGGGAGCCTGATGTGGGACTCGATCCCAGGACCCTGGGATCATGACCAGAGCCGAAGGCAGACGCTTAACAACTGAGCCACCCAGGCACCCTACCTCTCGCCCTGCTTATGTGCTTTCTCTCTCTGTCAAATGAATGGATAAAATCTAAAAAAAAAAAACAAAAACAACATTAGGGACTAACCAATTTCAGGATTGAGGGAAGAGGAAGAAGAAAAAGTAAGGAGAAGAAGATGGCTTCTCTAAAGGCGAAGGAGAAATTTTGGAAAGCCATGAGTTTAAGTTCAAAGAAAAGAAAAAAAAGTTCTTTGCCTTTCACCTCCTGGTGCTGTAAACTCTTGCCATCCTGTGTTGCTACATGTTGGATCCTGTGCCATCCTGTGTTGCTACATGTTGGATCCTGTGCCTTTTCCTTCTTAAGCAGTTTCCATTTTTATCAACAAGGGACTTAAGGACACAGGGATAGCTGAGAAAAAACTGCAGAGTAAAGTGTGGTGTGATGGAAAGAATGCTCATCCGGTGGATAAAACCTAGGATTTTGTTCCATTGCTGTCACATTTAACCTTTATGTTACTGGTTATTTGCATAGAGGTTGGTAATCTTTTTAAATCGTTCCTGCTCAAAACTGTACAGAAAGTGTATAAAGCATACTGGAGAACAAAATCTCCCAAAATTCCTGTACCAATTTGCTCAGTTTCTTGTGTATTCTTCCAGGAGTTTTCTAGGCACGCACATACAAATATATAGGTATATATTGGCCCATTTTATTTTTCCTTTATACAAATGGAATCTACCGTACATCCATTTCTCAGCTTTTTTTTTCCATTTAACAGTGTATCTTGGACATATTTTCACATCAACATATATGGATTTGTTTTTTGTTTGTTTGTTTGTTTGTTTGTTTTACCGGCTACATATTATTCCACCTTACGGATGAACCTTAGATTCTTTGACCTAGTTTGGCGATTTTCAAGAGACCCTTGATAACTAGGATTCTTTTTTTTTTTTTTAAGGTTTTATTTATTTATTTGACAGAGAGAGAGACAGTGAGAGAGGGAACACTAGCAGGGGAAGTGGGAGAGGGAGAAGCAGGCTTTCTGCGGAGCAGGGAGCCCAATGCGGGGCTCGACCCCAGGACCCTGGGATCATGACCTGAGCCAAAGGCAGACGCTTAATGACTGAGCCACCCAGGCGCCCCTTACCTATGATTCTTTATTCCTTTTACCACAGTTCTTTTCTTTTCTCTAACATGGATCTTACATGATACTTTATGTTTTCTGTTTTTTTAATAGTAGATATTGATGTCCAGACTGACAATAATTTGATAAAGGAAATGTATGAAGAAAAACATAATACATCATTTGAACTTCAGAGGGACTTTTCCCAGGACACAGACTTTTCAGAAGCCTGTATTCTAGAGAAACAGCAGGAAGTCCATTTAGTAGGAAGCATAAAGAAAGAAAACTGCAGCGTCATTGACGGAATAGTGATAGACGGCAGCAACCCTGGGGAGGAGTATTTCTTTAGTCAGAGTCCAAACTTGGATCAATGTCACACCGTCAGCACTGGAGAGCAGCCCCCTGAACGTATAGGATTGGAGAGAGCCTTCAGCTTTGACACAAAACTTATTCAGGATGAAATAATTAATTCGGGGGAAAGATCTTTTAAATGTGAAGAATTAGTGGAAACCTTCAGGTGTAACCCTCAGCATCAAGGTGGCTACACTGGGGAGAAGCCCTATCAGTGTAAGCAGTGTGGCAAAGCCTTTAGCATTAATGCAAAATTAATTTGGCATCAGAGACTTCACAGTGGGGAGAAACCCTTCAAATGTGTGGAGTGCGGGAAAAGCTTCAGTTCCAGTTCCCATTATATCACCCATCAGAGCATCCACAGCGGGGAGAAGCCCTATCAGTGTAAGGTGTGTGGCAAAGCCTTCAGCGTCAATGGGAGTCTCAGTCGGCATCAGAGAATCCATACGGGAGAGAAGCCCTATCAGTGCAAGGAGTGTGGAAGTGGCTTCAGCTGCAGTTCTGCATATATCACACACCAGAGAGTCCATACTGGAGAGAAGCCTTACGAGTGCAGTGACTGTGGGAAAGCTTTCAGTGTTAATGCAAAATTGATTCAGCATCAGAGAATCCACACTGGAGAGAAACCTTATGAGTGTAATGAGTGTGGGAAAGGCTTCAGGTGCAGCTCCCAGCTGCGGCAGCATCAGAGCATTCACACCGGGGAGAAGCCCTATCAGTGTAAGGAGTGCGGGAAAGCCTTCAGTAATAATGCAAAACTCATCCAGCATCAAAGGATCCACACAGGTGAGAAACCCTATGAGTGTACCGAATGTGGAAAAGCCTTTAGTGTCAAAGGGAAGTTAATCCAGCACCAGAGAATCCACACGGGGGAGAAACCCTATGGGTGTAATGAATGTGGGAAAGCCTTCAGGTGTAACTCCCAGCTGCGGCAGCATCTGAGAATCCACACCGGGGAGAAGCCCTATGAATGTCATGAGTGTGGAAAGGCCTTCAACGTTAATGCAAAACTAATGCAGCATCAGAGGATTCACACTGGAGAGAAACCCTTTGAATGTAATGAGTGTGGGAAATGCTTTACTTCTAAAAGAAACCTACTTGATCATCACCGAATCCATACTGGAGAAAAGCCTTATCAGTGTAAGGAATGTGGGAAAGCCTTCAGTATCAATGCCAAACTAACTAGGCATCAGAGAATCCACACTGGGGAGAAACCTTTCAAATGTATGGAATGTGAAAAAGCATTTAGCTGTAGTTCTGACTATATTGTACATCAGAGGATCCATACTGGAGAGAAACCCTTTCAATGTAAGGAGTGTGGAAAAGCCTTCCATGTTAATGCCCATTTAATTCGGCATCAGAGAAGCCACACTGGGGAGAAACCCTTTAGATGTGTGGAGTGTGGCAAAGGGTTCAGCTATAGTTCTGACTGTATTATACATCAGACTGTCCATACTTGGAAGAAACCCTATGTGTGTAATGTGTGTGGGAAAGCCTTCAGGTTTAGCTTCCAACTTAGTCAGCATCAAAGTGTCCATAGTGAAGGAAAATCGTAATGAGAAGGATGTAGAAAACTCTCAAAGTTAATGAAATGGATCAGGTATCATCAGATTCGCCGTGGTAGAAAACCTTGAGGGAAATCAATACGTCATCTTCCCATGGAAACACATCTTTTCCATCTTACTTTTAAAATCAGGAATGATGAGTGGTTAAAAAGTAACAACCAAAAATAAATAGCTTGTCTTATACCAACAACCAATTAGAAAATATGATGAAAGAAAAGATCCCATTCCCAACAGCATCAAGAAAAGTGGCTCTCCTAGGAATAAACTTAAGTATTACACAGGATCTATATGGAGAAAGAAATCTCCATTGAGGGCCAAAAAAGGTAAAATAAATGGGGAGAGAGAGAAACCTTGTTCTTGGATAGGAAGATTCATGTAGATACTCACTCTGCCTAAATTTACTTCCCTTTCATTTTTGACACCAAGCATGCATCACTTTTGTAAAGAGGATAAACAATAAAGATTTCCGTAGAAAGAAAAGATGAGTAAATTTTTAATTTCGTGGGAGAAAAAATATATATAATATATATAAAATATACATAAATACATTAAATATTTATGTTCTTAATAATCCCAAATAAAGTTAAAAGATAAAGCACAAAAAGGAATACCTTTGTAAAATTTATGATATAGATGTTTAATATGTAAAGATAAGTTTTATAATCAAGAGAAAAGTAATCTAATAAAACCCAGAAAAATGACATTAGCAGGCATTTAAAAAAAAATCTAATAAAGAGCTGTTCAGTCACAGTCCTCTAAGGATTGAAAATGAAATACGCACACACTCATACCCAAGGAGCCCTCAGACCGCTCTTCCACAGACCCTCCCATAGACACACATAGTCACACACAGTGCACCCTATGTACACAGAGACTTTACACCCCCATAGGCCAGTGACCTCAGCTCCTGCATGTTCTGTAGCTTGAGCAACCAGTGTTAGCTAGGGATGCTACCTTGAGTATTTCAAAGGAGCCATTCCTGTTAGAAAGCTAATGATGTGGTATAGGACCTCAGCAGAGTGTCTGGGGGATGCCACTGTGTGTAAGTCCCACTGCTCTGCCCCCAGACTCTGGGAGCTGAGGAAGGGTGGAGGTCAGACCCTGGAGCCCCAGAACATAGGAACGAGCATGGCCTTTCTTCCCCCTCATCTGACCCTGATTCTCTGCTGTGGCAAGACCAAGGCGGGGATTCTAGGAGGGTCAAGAACCACTAAGGACAGAACCTACTGTCTGGGATCTGCTACCAGTGTCCTCTGTGACCACGGTCTCTCTGGGTCTCAGGCTCTTGTCAGTGCAGGGTGAGGGCTGGTCCCAGAACTCAAGGCCCTTCCCACCCAGATGGTCCCTGAGGGTTTTCTCCCTCTCTCTAGGTTTGTTACTGTCCAGGACAGGTGCTCTGTTCAGATTCTAAGGACAAGAGGAGGAAGAAAGTTAGACACCTGTGGAGCCTCATGAAGTCACACGGCTCCATCAGCCAGTAGTCCTGCCATCTTGTATCCTCAGTGCTCCTTACTCCAGCCCAGGGCTGCCTGGGTCCAGTGGGAGCCTTACCAGGAAAAAAGGAGCCATGGCACTGGAGACCTCTGTCCCCTCACAAAAGCTCTTTTTCTGAACTGGAGCTGTGGGCCTGGAAGGGCCAGGATTAAATAAAGCCTTTCTCCCTTAGTCCCAGTGTGTTTTGTCCCTACAGCACGCCCTTCCAGCCTGGCCTGTCACACTGGAAGCGCCCTCAGAGGGCATCTGGTCCTGCCCTGTCCAGGTCAGAGGAAAATGTGGTTGTCCATGGGCACCCAGCAGGTCAGGGGACAGCCTGGGGTGAAAGGCCAAAGCTAGGCAAGGCTCCAGTGTCACCTGGGGGAAGAAGAGGCCCGTCACAGCTACTCCTGGGCTGGTACCCCTTTCCTCCTGGCACTGGGGTTGGGGGTTGTGTGCAGAGGCTTCTGGACCTCTGCCTCTGAGGTCCCCACTCTCGCCACACCACAAGCCCACGCTGTCTCCTAGCCTGTCTCTTGATAGGGAACTGAGGACACCCTTCCCCTTCCACAGGCCAGGGCTGACCAATGCTGGGGAACTGGAGATGAGGCGAACCTCGGCCTTCGCCCCAAGTCCCCAGTCCACGGGCTCCCTTCCCCCTGCTCTCAGGCCCCGGGCGCTGCACAGACCATGTGGTCCACAGCAAATCCAACTCGTCCCAGTGCTGCCGGGGCTCTAGCTCTGGGTCTGAGCCCGCTCTGTTGGGCCCTGGCTCCCCCGCCTGTCGTTCGGGCTGCCAGCGGCCCGAGCCTCCCTTCTGCTCCAGCTCACCCTGCCACTGCCTCCCAGGCCCGGGTGGCTCCGGTGATCCTGCAGTGTGGCCCCCACCTCCTGCTGGCCACGGAAATCCCACCCGCTCTCAGCCGAAGCCCAGCCTCCAGGAAACCTCCGCGCTGCTCGGCCCACTTCCTCCAGCCAGCCACGGTAAGGGGCAGTTAGGCCACTCGTTCCTCGTGTCAGCCACCCGCCTTTGGCCTGCGAGCCCTTGGCCCACGAGCTACCAGGATGGGGACCCGAGGCTCTGGATCCCAGCCGCCCTGGGCCACCGCGCGCGGCGTACGGAGCCAGGTGACGGCCTTCTGCTGCCGCCTCACTGCCCGGCCGGCCCGGGCGCGCGCCTTCCCGCCCTGGCACTGTTTTGGCCTCGGTGCGAGGAGAGGCAGGAGCGTCGGGCCTGCGCGCGTCCAGGGCCCTGCGACCTGCACTTGGGCGCGAGAAGCCATTAGCAGCCAGTGACCGCCAGCCGCGGCCCCCTGCGGCCCCGGGTGGCCGGTTCGCTCCCTGCAGGGCGCGGGAAGCCCGGAACCGCCCCTGTGAGGCCGCGGGACAGCTCCTCCCTGCCCTTATCCCGGGGGTATCCCTGGAGCAGAGTCCTGGGGCAGCCGAGTCTGAGCCCTTGGTGGAACACTCTCCTGGGGAATCCGCCGGGGGTGGGGGTGGGGGTGGGGTGCACCTTCGACGCCAGGCAGGGCGGGGTCCCAAGGACCCTTAGAACGCTTAGGCCAGCGCATTGCAAACTTTCCCCTCAACCCCCCCCCCACACCCCGGAAATCTTAGAGGCGCGTATTGTAAACTCCTAAGTAGAGCCGCTGTGGAAGACTGTGAGGGGGTGGGGGGCAGTTGCCACTGGGCCCGACAGTCAAGGGCAGCGGTTTTGCTTAATGATGCCTTGATCCAGGACGGAAATCGCAGTGCGTTCCACAGAATCCAAGCGTTCCACGCAGGGCCACCCACGGGTGTGAGGTGGGTAGGAAGAACAAGAGATGGGGGAGATGGGCTCCGTAGCCGGGCTCTCCTGGGAAAGGCATGTGGTAACGAACCGTGAGTTGGCCTCCGCATGACAGTGGGGGAGGAGAGAGTCAGTGCAGGGACCAGGTCAACAGGGAGCGGGGGCCTAGCCACGCTTTGCCGTGTCCCTCTGCCCAGAGGGCTCTCCCTGCCTTCACACTGAGCTCAGCCAAACACCACATGCTCCTCGCTGGCCTCCCGGGTCTCCTTAGCCCGCACTGGGTGCCCCGAAGTCACTGGGGGGTGGGAGCGGGGGCAGCTCGTTGGGCTAGGCAGGACCTTGCTAGTTGAGTAATTTCAGTTGAGCGGATAATGTTAGTGAGTCAGTAAGGGAAGAAGTGTTTGGTGCCTGTGTTTATATGGTTTATACATCTTCATCAGCAACGGATGTCCAGGTGAATTCCTCCGGTTGGGGAGCCATGGGATGAGCGCCCTGGCCTATGAGCGCAAACGTCTTAGAATTTGGTTGCTCTCCAGTTGCCCACCAGAGGGCGCTCCACCCCCTCAAATAAAGATGTGGAGGCTGAAGTTTGAGGTCCGGCTAGGATGATTCAAGCTCTCTGGCCTCAGTATTTGCCCACCCGGTGCCGCTGCGCAACCCCCACCCCCCGCCCCAAGCTTCCATTTGACTATAGCTGGCCAGGGTGTCTGGGGGCAGGGGCACCCGCAACTGGCTGGCTCTTCTCCTCGGGGAGCAGAGGTTAAGAAAACCACCAGCTAAACTGTCTGGTGTTTGCCGGATGAAGGAGGAGGGGAAAACTTGGGAGGCTAATAACTCATGACACAGCTTTTTTTTTTCTTTATTGTGGTAAAATACTCATAACATAAAATTTACCATTTTAACTATCTCAAAGTGTCTAATTCAGTAGCATTGGGTACGTTTACAGTGTTGTGTACCCATCACCGCTTTTCATCACCCCAAAAGGAACCTCCTATTAAGAAATCTCTCCCCCGGGGCGCCTGGGTGGCTCAGTTGGTTAAGCGACTGCCTTCGGCTCAGATCATGATCCTGGAGTCCCTGGATCGAGTCCCGCATCCCGAGTCCAAGGAGCCTGCTTCTCCCTCTGACCCTCCCCCCTCTCATGTGCTGTCTCTCTCATTCTCTCTGTCTCAGATACATAAATAAAATCTTAAAAAAAAAAAAAAAAAAGAAGAAATCTCTCCCCCAGCCCCAGCCCCTGGCGAGCACTAGTCTGCTTTCTGTCTCTATGGGTTTGCCTGTTCTGGATATTTCATGTAAACGGAATGCAACAATATGTGGCCTTTGTGTCTGGCTTCTTTCACTTAGTGTAATGTTTTCAAGGTTCATCCATGTTGTAGCATGAATCGGTACTTCCTTCCTTTTTATTGGCGACTAATAAGTCATTGTATGGATATACCACATTTCGCTTATCCATCCGTTGATGGGAACTTGGGTTGTTTGCACCTTTTGGCTGTTGTGAATCATGCTGCTATGAACATTGGTGTACAAAAATCTGAGCCTCTGTTTTCAATTCTCTCAGGTATATACCTAGGGGTGGAATTGCTAGGTTATGTGGTAATTCTGTGTTTAACTTTTTGAGGAACTGCCAAACTGTTTTCCACAGGGGCTGCACCATTTCACATTCCCACCAACAGGGCCTAGGCATTCCAGTTTCTCTACATCCTCACCAACATTTATTATTTGCTGTAATTTTTGTTGTTGTTATATGCACCCTAGTGGATGTGAAGTGGTATCTCATTATGGATTTGATTTATATTTCCCTGATGACTACTAATGTTGGGCATCTTTTAACTGGTGTCCAGACTCCGGTCTTGCCCCCTTCTATCCACTCAAGTCCTTTCAAAACCCAAGTCTGATCCTGTCTTCCCCAGCTCAGAACCCCTTGGGGCTCCCCACCCACTCTCCCTAGACTAGAAGATGCATCCCTACCCTCCCTGCCCCCACAACACACTCTCTGTGCTCTAGCCCCTAGAAAATTCTCCCAGTTGTTAAAATACACTTCTCCAAACCTTTGCATCTGCTGTTCTCTCTACCTAGAATATTCTCCTATGCTCTCCTCCACTCCACTTCCCCCCAAAATGCCTCTCATCCTTCATGTCGCAGACCTCAATGACCCCTCATGACCTTTCGCATGGTGTGTCCCCCTTCTCTGTGCTCACCTGTCACACCCTCCCTAACTCCACCATGTCGCTTTCCACTCTGATCTGTAATTCACAGTTCAACTGTTGGTTTCACCCCAAAGACTGAAATCCACAAGGGTCAAGGCCATGTTTGTAGGCTGGGCCCTGTCTCCTCAGAGCCCAGGGCAGCAGGGATGCAATCAAACTGTGCTCACTGGCCACTTGGAGGGAAAGTTGATGGGTGAATGGGTGGGTGCACAGATGCATTTGATTGAGGTCCTGGACCCAGTTTGTTTCCTCTGCCTGGAAGCTCCAGTGCCCTGGTTCACACATTTTTGGTCCCACCTGTTGGCCACCAACCGTGGTACAGCCTGGGCTCAAGATGGGTGCCTCCATCCACAGACAAGGCTGAGGGGACAATAGAGTGAAACTGGCTTTTCCCCATATAGGTTATAAATCCCTTTTGGGGTCATTTCCCCTTTCCACCTTAAGCTAAACTCCTTCTGTGCCCTTGACCTCAACCATTCCCAAGACCACAGGGGTCTTCCTTTGTCACTTTTGTCCCTCCCTCCCCAGCCTCTTGATTATCCCCCACCGGCTTCCCTCTACCCTCTCAGAACACTATGGTCCTGTTTCCCTTCTCTGCAAAACCCTCCACTTGAGTGGTTTCCAACCTTAGCTCACATTGGAATCCCAGGGGGAGCTCTGAAACATCTTGATGCTCAGGCCACAGCCCTGCTAATAGGAATGGGGAGGGCAGAGATGCCTGAGCACTGGTGTGCACCCAGGGTACTTAAACTTGCGCCTGAGCTTGAGGACTACTGTCCTTGATACAGCACCCCTCAGAGGCTGCCCCATTTCTTTTGTTCAGATGTCTCAGTTGAGTACTTTGTACCCCCACTTGTGTTCTTCTCAATGTCTGACAACTCAAATCTTAGCATTCCAGGGCCTGGCCGAAGAATGCACAGAACCACCCTCTCCAGGCTGCTGAAGTCAGCTGGCTCCCTGTTCCTGGCATTCTCCATCTCTCTGCAGCCTGCAAGAGCGCCGTGTGGGATTATGTGAACCTGGCCTCAAACCCCAACTCCAGCCCTTCGTTGCTGTGTGATCTTGAGCAAGTTACTTAAGCTCTCTGAACCTCGTTTTCCTTAAACGTAACTTCCCTCCTGGGGCAGCTGAAAATAGACAGTGATAACCCAGAAATGCACGTCCAGTGCCCTGCAATGCAGCCTATTATGATCCAGGCCCTGTGCCCCTTCTGGCAACTCCCTGCACAGGGGTCCTCCCACCAGCCTCTCTAACCTCTTTTTCTTTCCTTTTCCTCAGACCCCTAAGAATTGCTCACCCTTACTGGGCATTTACTTGAAACCTGGCCTCGTCAAGATTAACCTCTGGGTCTGACCCCAGCTTTAGGAAGGATGTCATCTTGTCCTCTCCCCTATTTTACAGAGGAGAAAACTGAGGCACCGGCTGGCAACTTGTCAAAGCTGCCTGGAAATGGCAGGCCTGGGATTCAAATCAGCACAGTTTGACGGAAGGGTTGGGCTCCTCACTGCTGGGCTGGCTGCCCGCCCCTTGCGAGGCCCAGGCTTGTGTCCTGGACCCTCTGTGTTCCTTGCAACCCTTTCTATATATTGCCAAGTTCCTAAACTTAAAAGATTTAGATGTGGAGGGTAAAATAGAGAACCTCCTAGAATAAAACAAGGGAGCATATCATCATGATATTGAGGGCAGGAAATATTTCCTAAATAAGACTCAAAAAAAAAAAAAAAAGGCTAACCTTAGAAGACTAGATGGACTGAATTGAAATTAAGAACTTCTGTTCATCTACAGACACCATTAGGAGAGCTAAAAGGCCACAGGGGGTGCACATGTTTGGCCAAAGGATTCGGAGGCAGAACAGAGAAAGAACCCCTATGACTCAATACAGCTCCCTCATAAACGATTTTTAAAAATCACATAGGCCTGGCTTTGGACTCTAGCTCTTCTCAACTATTCAGTGAGATCCTGGATAGGTCTCCATGAGGCTCTGATGCCCCGAATTAATTCTTGTATTTCCAAACTGGGGATAAAATCCCTGCCTCACTGTTAGGTTTCCTGTGAGAATCAGAAAAGGGATTAATGCACCAAAAATGGATCATGGGTCAGCTGGGGAATTCTGTCAATACCCCTCTGTCCCTCCCTCGCAAATTGGAGTTCCCCAAGGACTTGGCAACGTGTTCGGAGTACGGGGGTGGGAGGTATAAATGTGATATGTGAATGGACAGGGAACAGCATTCCTGGATGAGAGAACAGCATGAGAGAAGCGTGAGGGTGGAAAGGTACAGTCAAGGTCTTTGGGGGTTGGGTTAAGGTACAATCAGGGGAAAAGTGAGAACAGGCCGGGCCGGGCAGGGGATAGATCTTAAATACCGGGCCAAGGATAATGCCAGGCATTATCTGGAAGGACACAGGCAACCATAAAAGTTTTGAGGACGAGGGGTGCATAAATGATAGGGAAAGAGAGACAGGGAGAGACAGAGCTTTGGAGATTAGAGGTCGGGGCAGTAAAAGATTTCTCCGTATGCAGCGGCCATTTCAGGACTTCTGCTTCGAAGGAAGGAAGAACGGAACCTGAGTAAAAGAGAGATTGTGTTCAGTGGGAGGTGTGGGCCAGAGGCAGGGGGTCCGTGGGGCGGGGGGAGAGGAGCAGGAGAGGATCCCGCTTCACCTCCCGATCACTCCTAGAGAAGGGGACCACCAGACAGAGGGGCTGGCCATGGTTCTCAGATGTGGCGCCCAGAGCTTGTTAGAAACACAGTCTGGGTCCCCACCCCACGCCTACAGAATCAGGGTGTCTGCAGTGGGCCCTGCACTCCAGGGGATTCTGATGAGTGCTCAGATTTGAGAACCGCCACCGAGAAGAAAGGTCTCCCTGGTCTTCCCTTTCAGAGACACTGGTGAACGACAAAAGGTCACAGAGCCAGGGCGGAGGTGGGGTCCCCTCCCCTGCCATAGTAGCCCATAGTGGCCTCAGCCCAAGCCAGCCTTCACCCTAAGGGGATGCACCCGGAGATGAGAATCTGCACCTGTCTTGGGGACAGCTCAGCCAGCTTGAGTCTCTGCACAAACATTGGCTCTTGTGGGGCGGCCATAACCCCATCCAAAGACTTACCCCTTAAAACTTTCTCACTCCATCTTGCCTCCTGCCTATGACTTTCCTTGGCAGACCCCCATCCCAGCCCTCTCCCAAGGGCACGGGCGGAGGGGGGAGCTAATTGGAAAAGGCAGGTGGTGGCCACGCTGGGGGTTCTGACCCAGGGCTTGATTATCAGTTTATCAGTTAGGCTAAGGTTTAAAAATAGCAGTCCTGCAGGGAAGGGGGCAGTGCCTGGGTGTGGGAGGGAGGGAGGGAGGGAGGGTCCCGGCGCGGGTTAGATTTCAGTTCTGCTGCCTTCCCTTCTCCGGGTTTTGAGCTTCTGTCTTCAGGGGTGAATTTCCTGCCATGGGGGGATTGGTGAGGGCCCGCCTTGCTGGCAGAATGGCCCCCCTCCCCCCAGCACTAGCATTTTGTACTGAAGCTTGCACAAGAGTTGCCTGCTAAGGGGAGGGGTCTCTGCATTTCCAGCTCTCGGGAGAGAGCAGAGGGGGTTCAGTGATATTGAGTCTTCCTTCTGCTCTTTCTAGAAAGCCTTGTCTTACTCTTAGGGTGAAATCTTCATCTGTGAGATCCTGCCTCAATGGCCTCACGGCCTTTGAGCCTTACCCGAGGGCAGCTTGCCTGGCCCTCCCTGCCCATCCTCATCCCACTGGTTAGGGTGTGTGTGTGCTCTGGGTGCCCCCTCCACAGGGCTGGGCCAGCCCAGGTGGCCCACTTAAAGGAGCCTGATGCATGTCGGGGTGAATTTGTTCAATTATTTAAGCAACTAAGCGTCACGAGGACCCCAAATTATCATTTTGGGGAAGATGAAAAAGAAGGATTTGGTTAAGAAAAAGACTCAGGGTCTAGCAATTTTAAATTGGGGTTCAAAGAGCCACACCTGTGCAGAAACTATCCCAAATTAGGCAGAGGCAGATCTTTCTCCCTTAGTCTTGCTGGTATGTCAGTTTGCATTCCCAAAGGCAACTCCTCGTCCTACTTTATTATGTGCATACAAACATATGCAAAGATAGGTTCTAATTGCCACCCTCCTTTTACACCAAAGCAGCATATTATGTACTTGGTTCTGGACCTTGGATCCACCCCTCCCCTCATTCACACCTTGGAATTTTCCTGGTCCTCGAAGATGTGTCCTTGTTATTATTATTTTTTAAAATATTTTATTTATTTATTTTGACAGAGAAAGAGACACAGTGAGAGAGGGAACACAAGCAGGGGGAGTGGGAGAAGGAGAAGCAGGCTTCCCGCCGAGCAGGGACCCCGATGCGGGGCTCGTCCCCAGGACCCTGGGATCATGACCTGAGCCGAAGGCAGACGCTTAACGACTGAGCCACCCAGGCGCCCCGTGTTCTTGTTATTTTTAACAGCTGCGTCGTATTCCACCGTCACCTCCTATAACGTTTCCCCAGTCCCTTCCTGCGGCCACGGGATTTGTCCAATCATCTGCTGTCACAGACGGCGCTCGGGCTGGAACATCATGTTGCCTGGACTTAAGTGTTAGGTCGGAGGGCACACGCCTTTGTACCTACAGTGGGTGTTTGTCTTTCTCTTCATGGGGAGGTAGGAAAGGAGACTCTTCAGAGCTGGATCTGGGAAAGGGGGGGGGATTTGAACTTTTTCCCTGTGCTTTCTAGTTATTTGCTCACCTGAGCTTCGGTTGTTAAAATCTGTAAAATGGGGCTCACAGTCGGGAGGGTGCAGTGGGATCAGCTAAGTCAAGTGTTGGGTTCAAGGCCAGACACCGAGCGAGAGCTCAAGGTGCCCAGAGTAGTAGAATCTGACGATACAGCTGCCCCGCATCGTTTCTGGGGTGACAGCCGGGGCGTGTGGGGAGGGTGGGGGTCTCAGAGCCGAGGATTGGAGCTTGGTCATCAAGTCATGGGTTCCCCGCAGGAAGATCACCGCCCCAGCCCCACCCTCGTTTTGACCCTGACCTTCTGTGCTCTGTTGGGGAACGCTGGGTCTCCCCAGGCCCGTTCTGGGGCTACCTGTTGGGAGGCCTGGAGGAAGAAGGCACGTGGTCTGCCTTACATCCTCAAAGCTCTGGTCCCCGGCACAGTCCACAGATGGAGGGGCTGACCGCTAGCCTTACCTAATTCTGTGTCTTCTACACACGTGATTGCATCCAGTTCTCAGAATTGCCCCATAGGAGAGACGAATATCCCTACCAGCCACTGTCTCTTGTCATGGCGGGACCTTGCTCCATCCAAACGGAACCTCGTGTTCGCATGACGCCTCTGGGTTCTTCCACGCTGCGCCCCCAAGGCAGGGAAAGAGCCTGTGACGTGTGTGGGGTTTCCCATTGCCCCTTGTTCACACTGGGGATGAGTCCTCAGTGGAGAGGTATACTGCTGGACTAGAGGGGGACTTTGATTTTGTAGGACTGGAAATTCCCTCTGAATGTCTGGGAGGAAAAACATAACACCTGCTACTAACATCTCAAAACGTCTGTGCGACACTTTCACCCTTAACACCCTCACTGCCAACATTTAGGATAAACATTGGTCAGCAACCAATCTTTTGAATCCTCTCGCCAACAGAGGTGTTCTCAGACCCGTGCAAATAGATCCTAAACAGTGCACATCTGTGTATCTGCATCTGTTTTCTCCTGCTGCAGGGGCTTAGGATGAATTGGTTGACCAGGCGCAGTTTGATGGGCTCCGTTCTCCAGCCCTAGAACCGGGTGGCTCAGGGTCGTCACTGATGTGAGAACATGAGTAGAGAGAAGGAAGAGGCTTTGTTTAGTATACTCCGTATTTATGATGAACCAGAGGAGAGGAGGAACGTGCCAGAAAGCTCTGGCATTTCCTCCCAGCATGAGCATCAAGCATAGTCCCAACCGGAGGGGGTGTATGGGATGTCCCAGCAGCCCCCGGGTTCCCCGACATAGCATGGCCTAGTTTATCAGGAGATGAGCGCTGGGACCCTGCAGCAGTGGGTCCTCCAGACTCTAGGCAGATCTGAGCTCCAGGCCAGTTGTTTCCCCCAGGAGGAGCCACAAGCGACAGCAGAGCTGGGCCCCAGGTAGGTCTCCCTTGAACCAGACTGGTGGTGGGAGGGGGGAGCTCTCTCTGGGAGAGGGGATCCTAGCACAGAGCTCTCCAGATCACACTGAATCTCCCCACTCGCCCCGCTCCCACCCCTGCTCCTGTCCATGTGTCATAGCTTCCTGCCAGGACCCGAGTTTGGTAAGTCCCAGCTGGGACGCGTGGGCAGGGAAAGTGGCAACCCAAGGCTGGGCCTCGGATGGGGGACAAGGCGTGAGGCCTGGTGTCGGGGAAAGCAGCCTTCCCCTTGAATCCTGCGGTTCTGTTGCTGTTGGCCTCCCTCTCTGTGAGCGGGTGGGCATTGATCTTTCCTTGCAGGCCGGCCTTGCCCTTTGCCTGCGCCTAGGGAAGAGGTCTGGTCGTTCCTCGGGGCAATGGTAAGTGTCCTATTGTTTCTGCACTTGGGATCTTTGCCTTCCCCGCTACCCCTCAAAGTAAGGAAAGGGGAGGGCATGCAGTGTGTCCCTCTTTCTCCCATAGGGGGTGGCTGTCCTGCAGCTCCCTGCTTCCTTGGAACTCGGCTCCCGGCTCTCACCGCCACCGTGCAGGGCCTTCGGCTCACGGTGTCACCTCTTCTAGAGCTGTGTCCGGGGCGGGGGCGGCACTCTGAGCCGGGCGCTGCTCTTACTGCTGGCGAGCAGCGTTGTCTCAGGACGTTGGGTGAAGAGTTAGGAATTCAGTTAGAGGACCGGGCGGGCGGTCACCCGTGGACGATGGGCACCCGCTTTCTTCTCTCTGCAGCCGCTGGTTCCGGATGAAGCCGTGGTCAGGCAGAGGGTCCCCTGGAGGTGCTGGAAGGTTGGCAGGCTCCGCCATGGAAAGAAAGTCCATGCTGTTGCCATCAGCGGCTCGACTCACCACGTGTACACATGTGGCCATGGCTACATTAAGGTCTGGGATGAGAGCGCTCTGCATGCCTGCAACAAGGCCCCGCAGGCCCAGCTGGACTTGCAGGTGTGGGGGGGTGTTCGGGGAGGGCTGGGGGAACCCCAACGTGACCTCTATCGTGGGACTCGGAGCCCGGGCCTCGAGCAGGTGATGTGAGGGTGGGAACTGTTCCTGCAGGACCATCAGAACTGCGTCCTCGCCTGCAAGCTGTTCCCCGACGGGCAGCGCCTCATCACTGGGGCTCTGTCCCGGAACCTGACGCTGTGGGATCTGGCACCCACACCCCGTGTCGGGGCACAGCTGGCCTCCACGGGCCCCATGTGCTATTCCCTGGCGCTCTCCTCCAATGCCCAGATCTGCTTGGCTTGTTTCAAAGGATTTGTCGAGATTTGGGATTTGCAGAACCAAATCTTGATCAGGTACGACCCAGGGGAGGGCTGGACAGTGAGGCCTTTGGGAAGGCTTGTGTGCCTTTCTGGACCTCTCTTGCGCCTCTGTGCAGTAGGACTAGGTGAGTCCGTGTGGAGAAGAGATGTGGGGGACTCCTGGGGGCTTCCTGGGCCCGAAACGTCCCGGTGGTTAGCCAGCGCGTGAACCTCTGAGTTCTTTTCCCGCCAGGAAGCATGAGGTCCCCGAATATGGGTCCCGCTGTGTGGACATCGCAGGCAGTAAGTTCTGGACAGGAGGAGAAGACACCAGACTATATTCCTGGGACCTGAGGTGCTACCAGAGGCTGCAGCAGCACGAATTACGGCCAGAGGTGTCTGGGCAGCCACCAGGGGGCTGAGGGTGGTCCCCGTGGTGGGGGGCCGAGGGGGCTTGAATGACGGGGTGGGCAGCTTGGAGCGCTGACTCCGGTCCTTCCCAACAGATCCTCAGCATTACCCACGACCCCAGTGAGGAGTGGGTGCTAGTAGGCCTGAGGACAAGCAATATCATCATTCTCCACACGCACCGCAGGGAGAAGTTTAAGGCAGTCCTTCATAAATATGTCAACCACCACAACCTCCAGTTTGCCTCCTGTGGTGAGTGGAAGCCAGGCGACCCCTCTAGGCGTCCTGTCCCACCCCGGGATGTCTGCTCTGCAGAGTCGGGGCCCAGCCTTGTTCCAGGCTCTGTTCCTCCCTCTTGAGCCCCAAGCTCGGCCAAGTGGAGACGCAGGTGTCTGTGTCCCTCCCGCTCTCACCTCTGCACCCCCGCCCGCCTTGCCCCCCGCTGCCTCTCCCTCTGTGGCCTGGCACCCTGCCTGTCTTCTGTCCCCGTCCCTCTCCTCTCTGGCTCTCTGTAACGGTGCCTTCCTATACAGAAGAGCAGCCTGGAGACACAGGCAGGCAGAAGAGGCACGCAGCCCCATCTGATTGTCCTTTTGAGGCACGAAGCCCCATCTGATTGTCCTTTTGAAGCACGAAGCCCCATCTGATTGTCCTTTTGTGCAGTGATACTGAGCACCATCCTGAGTGTGGCAGGAGGATAGGGCCAGGGGAGGGAATGGTTGGGCTCTTGGCTCGGATTTTTATAGATGGGCACGCTGAGCCAGAGGAAGAGCTGCTCTTTTCCTAGTCACCTTGGGGATGGAGCTGGGACTGGAATGCAAGCTTGGTCTCTGGCCTCCCCACCTGCCTTTCCTTTGCCAGGGAGCTATTTTGTGACCGCACTGGACGAGGTGATCCACTGCATAGCTGCACCTTCTCTGCAAAGGTTGTTTCAGGTATTGGGAGGAGGGATGTGCAAACCCAGGCTCTCGGAGCTCAGACCCAGATCCCAGTGGGCCGGGTCCCGAGGACATTGCTGGAAAATACCTCTGGGGTGGTATCTGGGTCCATTTACTAGATCCAGGGGAATGAGGACTCCACCGTGAGCCCTGAGACCTGCCCCGTTGTCTCCAGACCGAGCCCTAGGTCTGTCCTTACCCTTAAAACAGCCCCAAGTGAGGCCTTCATCTGTGGCCCATGCCTGGCCCCTGCCTGTGGTCACTCTTCTAGCCTCCTTCCCTGTAGGTAGAGGAGCCTACGGATGTCCTGTGTTGTGATGTGTCTTCTGACAACCAGTATCTGGTCACGGGCTCCGAGAACAGTGCCACGGTTTACCAGCTCTTGTACTGAAGTTTGCGTGCCGTGTTCCTGCTGGTGAAGACCCAGAGGAGGCCGGCAGGCTGAGGGGAGGGCAGCCTCCGCGGCCCCGATAGCATTGCCTGACCTTTGGTGGCCGGGCCTCTGTCCATTCCCTCCCCCCAGGACATGCCTCGCCTGTGTGCGCAGGTTTTTATGATACGGTGTAGGGGTTTTTCCTCTGTTAGTATTCTTACCACTGATTTCTGGGTTTGGGTGGGGAAACTTGCCTTTATAATTAACAAAATAGAAGAGCAAAAACCAAAATGGCCTGATCATGTGGTCAGTTTTTTTAAAGAACAAACTCCTCGTGATGGATTGCTTAGATCCCCCTCAGGAAGGAATTTTACACCAGGCTTAGGTTTTGTTTGTAAGTGTAGACCATCAACACTCCATTCCTGACCCAGGTTAAGACTCCATGAGCTGGTCTAACTATATCCCGAGGAAGGGCTCGTGCACGCTCTCTCGTGTGCACTTTCTCTCTCTCTCTCTCAGCTGCTGCTTGAGGATATCTGGCTTTATTTGAGTCTTTGGAAGGCCTGATTTTCATTCTGGCATTCTGTGATATTCTGTCTGGCCCTCTCGAGGTAGAAAAAGCCCAGCTCCTGAAATCAAGCCATGGAGGCCTGCTTCCTTGTCCTTGCCCATTCTGCCTCCTCTTTGCTTGGTGTTGGCACAGCTGAGACAGCTAAAGTTGGTAGCTTAGGGTTGTCCCTGGGAGGAGGCGCAAAGCCAGGGACCAAGCGTGCCATCCTGTGCATTGAGATACGGTCAGGTACCTAGTTCCTGCCGATGGATCATGAGTGAGGAATGAGCCTCGTTCCTGGACCAAGGCTAAAGGAGTAGGGGACGTCCCCTCCAGGTTCTCGGTCTCCTACCAGCTCAAGGTGAGAAGGTGGAGGCCCTGGGGCATTGCAGGGCCATGAGGTGGAAGCATCCACTGGGCAAGACACAAACTTATAACAAGTGTCCACTTACAGATGAACGGACAAGCAAAATGTGATGTATCTGTAATATGCACACACACAAAGGAATGTATGATTCGGCCTTTAAAAGGAAGGAAATTCTGATACCTGCTGCAACAGGGATGAACCCTGAAGACCTTGTGGGAAGTGAAAGGAGCCAGTCACAGAAGGACAAATACTGTGATTCTACTCCTACGAGGTCCTTCGATCACTCAGAGAGACAGACAGAAGGGTGGTTACAGGGAGCTGAGGGAGAGAGAGAAATGGGAGGTTAGTGTTTGATGGGGACCGAGTCTCACTTTGGTAAGGTGATAAGGATTCTGGAGATGGTGGTCATGGGGCCACAGCAGCGTGGGCGTACTCAATGCCACTGAGCATTGAGGTACAGGTGTACCTCAAGGTGGTTAAGATGGTGTAAGTTCTGTTATGTGTATTTTACACAATTAAACCAACAGCTAGGGAATTACAAAGATCAAGTTCAGAATAGTGGTAATCTCTGGGAAGCGAGGGAGGGAGAGAAACTGGGTCGTAAAGTGACAAAAAGGGAGCTTTAACTCCATCTGCAGTGTTTATTTCTCCAAAAATAAAGTTTATCAGAATAAAAAATGAGCACCTCGGGGAGACCATCAAGAAAGGGGACAGACAACCCACAGAAGGGGAGAGGATATTTGCAAATCCTATTTCTGGTAAGGGACTTCTACCCAAAATATATAAAGAATCCTTATAACTCAACAGTAAAGAGAAAAGTAAACCAATTGTCCAAGGGGCAAAGGATTTGAATATACGTATCTCCAAAGAAGATACACAGATGGCCAGTAAGCACAGGAAAGGATGCTCACCATCACTGAGGAAAATGCAAATCAAATCCACAACGAAATACCACGTCACACCTGCTAGGATGGCTGGAATAAAATAGACAACAGCAAGTGTTGGTAAGGATGGGGAGAAATTGGAACCCCAAATGGTGCAGCTGCTTTGAAAAACAGTTTGGTAGCTCAAAATGTTCAACCTAGAGTCAGCATGGGACCCAGCAGTCCCACTCTTAGGCACATGTCCGAGACAACTGAAAGAAGAAAAAAGCATGTAAGTGGGGCGGCAGTAACTGGAGTGATAAAAGAATTCCAAAATTTTTTGCTGGAAAAAAGGTAAAAGTCCTCAGGTGCTGGGCTGGCTCAGTCCACAGAGCACACCACTCTTGATCTCTTAGGGTTGTGAGTTCAAGCCCCATGTTGGGCGTAGAGATTACTTAAAAAAAAAAAAGGGTGAAAGTCCCAGTTAATAGTAGTCTTCGTAAGTCAAGTAGTAGCATTGGAATTTCTAGATTAATTACTAAAAGAATATTAAGGGTACAGTTTCCAGATAGAGGGAAAATGCTGGCACAATGGAACATAATATTTTTTTTTAAAGATTTTATTTATTTGACAGAGAGAGAGACACAGTGAGAGAGGGAACCCAAGCAGGGGAAGTGGGAGAGGGAGAAGCAGCCTTCCCGCCTCGCAGGGAGCCCGATGTGGGGCTCGATCCCAGGACCCTGGGATCATGACCTCAGCTGTGGGATCATGACCTCAGCCAAAGGCAGAGGCTTAACTGACTGAGCCACCCAGGTGCCCCTTAATTAACTAGAATTTAAATAAAAAACAGGCAGAACAAAAAGGGAAACCTTACAGGTTTGGTAGGCAGTAGATTCAGGGGAGCCTGGGTAGCTAAGTCCTTAGGCGTCTGCCTTCGGCTCAGGCCCTGATCCCAGGGTCTTGGGATCGATCCCCGCATCGGGCTCCGTGCTCAGCAGGAAGCCTGCTTCTCCCTCTCCCGCTCCCCCTGCTTGTGTTCCTTCTCTCGCTGTCTCTGTCAAATAAATAAATAAAATCTTTAAAAATAAAATGGTAGATTTACATCTAAACATACCAATAAATTATATTAAATATAATTAGAGTAAATATTCCTATTAATCTATAGAGGTTATATGACTGGGTTAAAAATACCTCAAATATATGTGTTTAAAAGATATATATATATTTAAAGATTTTGTCAGAGAGCACAAGCAGGGGGATCAGCAGGCTTCTCGCTGAGGAAGGAGCCCGATGCAGGACTCGATCTGAAGGGAGATGCTTAACTGACTGAGCCACACAGGTGCCCCTAAAAGAGACATTAAAACAAGGATACAGAAAGTATGAAACTCATAGAAAAAAATGCTTCTACACACTAAATCAAAGCAAGCTGATACTATATTACTATTAGACCACATGTAGTGTAAAATTAAAAGCAGTATTTGCAAAAAAGGTGAACACTTCGTAAGTGTTCAATTCCCAAGGTACAAGAATTCTATGCTTTATGCATTTATTAATGTAGGCTCAAAATATATACAAATTGACAAATCTATTAATAACCAACAGTTGAAACAGACAAAAAAAATAACATTTAAAAAAAGAACACAGCAGATGAACATTAGTAGGAAACATATAGTTCAATGCATACAACCAGTACAGAATACGTATTTTTTCCCCACATACACAAAAAGCATTTACAAAACACGACCATACACTGAGCTATACACTTCAGAGGATTTAATTCTTATAGAATATATTCTATGACCAGGGTGCCTGGCTGGCTCGGTTGGTAGAGCATGTGATTCTTGATCTCAGGGTGTTGAGTTCAAGCCCCTCCGTGGTGTACAGCTTACTTTAAAAATTAAAAAGAAGTAAAAACATATAACGTATATAGAATAAAAAAAATACATTTTATTGATGTGAAGAACAAAGGCAAAAGAAATGTAGATAAAATTAAATTTCCTTATAACTTGTAGCCCATTGACAAATACTTGAGACAGGCAGAGTAAGACGTTCCTCCAGGAATTCCCAACTGTTTTACTGTCAATGCTTTGCCAGAGGGAAAAAACACCTTGGCTCGACACTCTCTGGGCCTCCAGGATCCTGTAAGTCTTCTTTAACATACGAAAAAGCCTTTTGGAAACTTCCTTTGTCTTTACCTCCGCCAACTCCAAAGTGGATCATCAACTGCTGCTCACAATCCCACTGCAGCTCTTTTCTGCCCATGAGTCCTGCTCCGGGGCTATAAAAAAAACCTCAGCTTTTTGCACCAAGAACCTCTCAAGAATTCTTCTTTGACCGTTGGTTCGGGAACCCCACTTCAAACCACATCGCTATGACTACAACGCAACCAATTAAGATAGAAATGAATAATAAAACCCAGAAATTTCCCTATTTCGGAAAATAAGAAATATACTTGTAAAGAATCGGAAACTGAATCACAACGTGATTGGAAGCTATTGTAAACCGAATAATCAAAACTCGCAGCGTTCAGCTACAGCTGTGGGTAGAGCGAGGCCTCGCCAGGGCAGCGCCCCACCTCGCCGTCCTGGGCCACGTGGGGGGCCCGCGCTGCCTGCCCAGGTTGCCCCCCACTCCTCGGCCGGCTCTGGGACGGAGCGAGGGTACAGCCTGTGGAGACAGCCAAAAGGAACGTGGAGACACGGTCTTGCTCCGAGTAGAGAAGTTGGGGTAAAGGGAAGTGGTCCAGGAGAAGCGCTTCCGCAGATGCCGCAAAAGCAAGCGCACCGCTCGGCGGCGCTCGGCCCATCTCCCCGCAGTCGCGCCAACACGGCGCGTTTTCTCACTTACGGCTTTTCGTTCTTGGCGGCGGCGCCGCGCGCCTTCCTCCGGCCTGCGTTCCTGCTGAGGGGGGCTCCCTGCTGCGGGGGACGTGCGTTCCTCCGTCGCGGGCGTCCCGCTACCGGGAGGGCTTCCGAGCCCCCTCGCTGCAAGTCTTTCTGCACGCACCGCCGTGGAGCGCGGCAAAACAGCCGTGCCCTCTCTGAGGCTCGAACTCAGGACCTTCAGATTATGAGACTGACGCGCTGCCCACTGCGCCAAGAGGGCCGCTGGGAGCGGGCTCTTCTTTACCAGTGAAGGGAAGGGCCTACGGCCCCTTCCGCCTGAGCCGCTTCCGCGCGCCTGTCGCTCCCTGCAGCGACCCGGGGGTCCCTGCCCCGCAGCGGGCCCCACGCCGTTGGATGTACAGACACGGGGGCAAGGAGGGTCGGTCTTGGGAGAAGAGCGGTCTCCGCGGAGAGAACGCGCGCCGAGCCCCGCAGCCCCGCAGCCCCGCGCCGACCCGGCCCGAGCAGGGGCGCGCCGGGCAGGTGCACAGGCTCCGAGGGTGACCCCACCCGCGCGCTCGGGCACTCGGAAGGCGCGCGCCTGACTCGGGCGCAGGGCAGGT